GAGTATCAAGATCAGTGGACTCAAGAGATTTGAAGTTATCTGGACTTTTATCAGAAGCAGGAGATGTCACTGGTAGAGCAAAAGTGGTTTCTTATATCTAGTCAACTTTCTGTCTGTCTTTAGCCCAGACATAAACTTGCCTTTCCCTTTCCCCTTCCCCTTCCCTATCCTTGGTGACATTGGGTTCTGTAGTCCCAGCAAGAGATGGTGGTGCAAAAATAATTGGTTCCACCATAGGAATCACAAGAATCTCTTCGCACCAAGGCTCTCCCTGAAGGGAAGACTGCGACACCGGAGAGGACAAGAAATAGGACTAGGACTCAAAAAAGGTGATATCCATGAACACAAACCACTTACGAGAAGGAGGGTGATAACACTTATACACATTTTGAGTAGGAGAGTACCCAAGGAAAACACATTTGAAGGAACAAGGGTTTAACTTACCACGAGTAGGAGAGTGATTGTGGACAAAACACATACAGCTAAATATTTTTGGAGGAAGAGAAAATAAGGACTCGGAACTTGGGAAAACTTGAAGGGGAGCTTGTTTTTGCAAGACCTAGCTAGGAAGACGATTAATAAGATGGGTAGCGGTGAGAATAGCGTCGTCCCAATAGGACTGAGGCACACACATAGAAAAACATATGCATCGAGCCATGTTAAGAAGATGACAATTCTTGCGTTCCACCACCCCATTTTGTTGAGGGGTATTGGTGCAAGAGGTCTGATGGATAATGCCATGGGCAGAAAAATATTGTCCTAACCCCGAATCTATGTATTCCCTCCCATTATCAGAACGGAAGATTTTGACGGTGGCCCCAAACTAAGCACAAATCATCTTGTGAAAATTGCAGAACACAGAGAAAACCTCACTCTTGTCATTCATGAGATACACCCAAGTAGTATGAGAAAAATCATCAATAAATGTAACAAACCATCGATGACCTTTAACAGACAAAACACGAGATAGACCAGACATCAGAATGTATTAATGAAAAAGGAACTAAACTTTTATTAAAACTGGGAGCAAAAGAAGCTCTGTGTTGTTTTCCAAGTTGACAAGACTTACAAAGAAATTCAGACACATTATTGTTTGCAAAAATAGATGGAAATAAATGTTTAATTAAATAAAAAGAAAGATGCCCAAGATGCCGATGCCACAGCCATAAATCATCTTGGGTAGTAGGACTTGTGGTGGAAGAATGAGCGAGCTTGTCTGGTTGATCTAAGAAGTAGAGACCATTTTCTGTACTACCACTGCCAATCGTCCTCCTCGTGACAAGGTCTTGAAAAAGACAATGATCAGGGAAAAAAGTAACACTACAATTCGAATCCTTTGTAATACGATTCAAGGATAACAAGTTAACAGAAAAATTGGGAACATGGAGAACAGAAGATATGGGTATGATAGGAGTGACATGGACTAAACCTTTCCCAGAAATGGAAGAAATAGTACCATCTGCAATCCTCACTTTATCCTGACCTAAAGAGGGCTTGTAGGCAGAGAAAAGGTCAGAGGATCCAGACATATGATTTGAGGCACTAGAATCAATAATCTAGGGCAAAGACTTATGAGAAAGGAAAACACAAGGAGAAGAGACTAAGTTTCCTGAGCGGACAAACGACAAGGAAGATGTACTGAGAGCAGTAGAAGACCGGCGGTCTAACAAGTGACGCAGAACATCCGCAAGCTTATGAGTAGTCATGCCAGAGAGACCATCAGAAGCCTAACTAACGAAAGTGGAAGTAGAATCAAGTGTATTAACGACACTAGACTGATGAGCCTGTGGATGCGAGCCACGTCCTCTAGACTGGCTTGACCTACCTCCTCTAGAACTAGGCCGATCACTTCAACCCCTGGATGGAGTCCCATGAAGCTTCCAACACGTCTCACAAGTATGCCGTGGCTTGCGACAGTAATCACATAAGACAGACTCCTTGGCAGCAGACAGAGGGATGGGAGTCAGACTGTGGCCATCTCTAGAGGTAGACAGTAACGTGGAGTGGTCAGTAGAAATAGGTGACATCATAGCAGACCGGCGACTTTCCTCATTCTGTACATAGGCAAATGCCTCTGGAAGTAAAGGAAGAGTGTCTATACCCAGAACCCGACTTCGAACCGAATCATACTCCACATTGGGACCGGCTAGAAACTCTTTCCTATGTAATGAACTTTTTGTACCCAACTAAATTAGCAGTGTAAACAGGTTTATAATCCTGCAGGTGATCAAGACGTTTCCATCCGTTAGTGAGGAAGGTAAAGTACTGAAGAACAGTTTGCTCCCCCTGAACAGAGCTCTCAATAGACTGGTGCAACTCAAATGCTTGTGAGAAATTTCCTTTGTGAAAAGTAGTAGCCACTGCCTCATAAATATCCTGTGCAGTGTCCATAGATAGATAGCCCTCTCTAATCTTCAAGGCCATAGAATGTATTAACCAATCAACATATCCCCTCTTGCCTTTGCTCTTCAAAAAAAATAGTCAAAACTTTGTGACCACGCTAGATAGTTTTAACCATTGAATAGAGAGGTGATGATTTTAAGACTATGGCTGGGGTTATCAGTCATAGTAGTAGGTATACTGGAACTCTCACTCTTAGGTGTCTAAGAAGTAGTGGACCCACTGGTAGAATCTGCCATGGATGTTATACTACCGAACCCTCAACAGAAACTAGTGCCAATCACAAACCCGAAATATGGTAGAAGAATAGTAAGCATGAAGACCACTAAGAATATTAAAGAATTAAACACTCATATAAGTGTGTGTTTGTTTGTTTGTTTTGTTTTGTTTGTTTTGTATTTTTTTTGTATTTGTATTTGTATGTGTAGAAGAAACGAAGAAAACAGAAGCAGAAGCAAACCGAGGTCAATACCTCATCACAGACAGTAGCCGAAGGCCAAGACGACACAGAGAGAGATGAAGGAAGCCAGAGGAAGCCTCGGGGCTGTCGACTAGGGCTGAGAGACTACCAGTGGCAGTCGGCTAGGCAAGACCACACATCCATAGTGGTCGACTTAGGCTAGAAGGGCTGTCGGCAGGGACCAACACGTGATTGGGGACCTGCGACAGTGATCGAAGGGTGCAACGAAAGGGTGTGACTAGGCAAGGCAAGATGGCCTATCGCAGTGACCAACCAGTGACTGGGCACTGGCGACAGTGTTCGACTGAGGGCTGACTCCGGCAGGTTCAGTCAAACCTAGCTTTGTGGTGGCTGTGGGGTATAGGTTTAGGGTTTAGGGTTGTGTTATGACTCTGATACCATGATGTTTTTAGAGAATACAAAAATTGGGGAATGATTGTGATATAATCCCATTTTTATATTAATAAAGATTAATAATTACAAGGGAGCCCTAAGGTATAGAATAATTACATCTGAATAAAAACCCAACTAATAATATACTATTCTAACAGGTAGTAGTACATGTAAGCTTTCTAAATAATCGGATATTCAATTGTTTTTCTAATACAGAGATTATAACCGATATATATAGCAAACCTAAACCTAATCTGTAATAGGAAATAATAACCACATACAATCAATCTAATATTCACACAATCAATCTAAAATATACAGTCAACCTAATTGATATATTTCCGTAATTAACATATATTCTCACAATATCGATAGAAAATAAGTTGAGAGAGAATAAATTAAGATGGTTTGATCATATACAACGGAGACCAACAAAGGCCGTAGTGAAGAGATGCGATGCAGTGAAGGTAGATAGTAGTCTTGGGGGAAGGGGTAAACCTAGATTGACATGGACTAGTGTAGTAAATAGATATATGAATCTTCGAATGGAGAAGAAGGATTCATGCAGCTGACCCCATTTGATGGGACTTAAGATTTGGTTTGGTTTGGTTAGTGATTCCATGAAAGTTAGTGAGGGAAATTTTCCTAACTAGCCCCAACATAGCTCCACCTGTGTGCTTATGCACCTTAACTTTTGTGAAAAAACAAAATGGAAAGATACCTTTTCTCCAACTATCTTAATTGACCCATGCATAAATGTGTATATTTATACTTCGTTATTGATGTGCGAGAATGAATCTCTCATTGTTTAATGAATTAGCGCTCCATGACCAAGCTGGGCTATCCAGGAATTGAGACCTACAAGACTAAGAACACAGTGAGAGCTGCCTGGTTGGGATTGGTTGAAAAACCCCTCCAATGCTAAAGTCAAGGACTCAAGAAGAGAGAGAGAGAGAGAGTAACCTATGCCCCCTTGCTCAGGTTATCATTACACCTGAGTGGGGGGGACCACAATTCTGTTAGGTATGTCTGCCATGTGAGCTCATCTATTTCCCTCCATGTGATGCAATATTCTTAACCATTTTATTTGGCTCCTGGTGATTGTGATGACGTGTAATCCTTTGTTGTGACCTTGAGTTGAGTCTAAGGTCAAGGCCTTGTTACTTAGTCTACGAGGTTGCTCTCCCAGGGAGTGCTCACTAAGGTGTCTGGTTGAGCTCTTCCAGCCTGGCAGCGTTGTGCTTTGGGCTTTGACCAACATGATGGTCTAGGTGGACCGATCTAGTTTACAGATGTTCAGCTCATGCCTGCCTCGGCCCAATGGGTGGTCAGCCCGACCCTAATGCTCTTGATACGTGGCCCAAGTTGTGATTTGAGGTGTCTGGCCTTAGCCATTTCTTGGCTCAACCCAAGTATGTTCACTGGATTGGGCTTGGTCCATCTAGTAAGCTTGGCCCATCTCCTTGTTTGGTGCACATCTATAGGGTTCAATGGGCTTGGACCATGCAGGGAGCTTGGCCAAGTCCAGGCCATGCCCCGTTCATATCGACTCCCTTCAATTATATACCTTTGGTAAAAATTATCTTCAACATTAATAAAACTGATTTTTCTCAAATAAAACTATTTGAGCTGCTCCTATTGTAGTTACTTCACAGCTGATAGAATTCTATAAACTAGTTGAATAATTTTACTTTTGCATATAATTTGCTTTATTTTGAAATTGCTTCTTGCTTGATTTTGAATTCAGGATTTTATAGTACGAGGGGGTCGGAAATTTCCTTTATACAGGTAAGGGTTTCACTTAAAACAGATTGAGTGAATACTGCATGCAATGATCTACTGTTGAAGTCCATATCCATGTCCTTGGCTTTTCCTGTTTCATATCCCATATAGCCATGTTATTACTACAATATTGTTCTATGTGCAGCATAAATGAGGATTAAGATTAATGTTAACTACTTTTGAAGTCCATATCCATGTCCTTGGCTTTTCCTGTTTCATAGGCCATAGAGCCCATGTTTGTTATGGAAATTTTGCTCTGCGTGCAGCATAAGTGAGAATTAAGATTATTGTTAACTACATTTGAATAGCATATGTAATGTCATTTTACATGTTATAAGCTCTTCCCAGTGGCTCAGGGATGAGTGGAAATTGTTGAGAACAACCAGATGTTAGTTAAAGTGGTAATTTCTACTTCCTTGAAAAGGACAGTGCAGGGCTTAAGTGCCTGGTGGTCACAGACATACACCTCTTACATATTGACAAAAAAAAAAAAAAAAAAATTGAGTCAAAAGTGCATGGGGAAGGTTCATAAACCTATTGAAGGACCTTTAAGACCCAAAACTACCTCTGAGGCAGGAATGTATGTTTGGTAGCAAAATTTGAATGCATTATGCACCAGAAGTCTTGGGAAATGGAGCAGAGGAGGACTCTCAATCAATTTCATTCAAAGATCCAAATTCAGTTATTCGTTGAATGTAGCTTCATTGGCCACTCCCCCACTCAAACTGCCCCAGTTTTTTGAACGATTTGCAGTTAAAGTTTCAATTGTGTAGAAAGGCCAAATTTTCTCTTAAAAAAATGTCACACACCAATTTTCTATTTCCTCCACAGTACCCGTTTCCAACGGATATGATAAGGATAAATGCGTGGGATAGTTGTCCGACACACGTACACAATTTAGACACTTGAATCCTCTAAATTTGTATGATGTTTGACGATGCAGCTCACATTTGCTAGTAAAAAAATGTTTTTTGCCTCTCACATGAATGAGAGGTAGAAATTCTATATTTTTCCTAAATCTTATTTAATTTCAAATACATTTCAAATAATTTGCATCAGATTATCTAACAATATCATACAGTATGCAAAATATACAAGTGTTCAGGATATCTCCCTGTACCATTACCCAACTTTTGGATGCATATCGCAATATCCTAAGATTTAGGTTTAGGAAGCTTTGACGAGTTGGATACACACTCGCACCCGATACTCATACCCGAGTCCATCTAACATTGTTTCTGTGAGATTTACTTGAAGCACTTAGTTTAGTAGCTCTGACTAATATCCTAATAATTTCCTATCCTAAAAATATGTAATTAAATTTCACAAGACATGCTTCTAAATGAACTTCTAGCATAATCATGGCTTTTTGTGTTTTTTTCTCCTCTTCCCTTGCAGTCGAGTAGTAGAAGCTGTTCCACCTAAAGCTATTGTGATTCCTGCATCTGGAAAGGACGTGGATGTTCAACTGAGGAAACAGGACTTGTCATGGAAACATTTTCTTTCCAGTGTTGATTACCACCCTAGGTAATGCCACACTCGTGTATATATGATTTTCTCCTAGTGACTTATTTACTTTGGTTTAACAATATTTTTCTTTTCTGCCAGATCAAATTACTTTTCTCCAGTCTATCTACCTATAGACTCCACGACTAATATACTCTTCTCATCCGGAACCACAGGTAAAATTTTCTGGTCTGACATTGTTTTTTTACAGTTTAATTCTCTATTTTCTCATCCCTTGATTCTGTAATTTATTTTTCCTTTATCAGGGGATCCAAAAGCTATACCATGGACCCAGCTTTCTCCAATTAGATGTGCTGCTGATTCCTGGGCAAATGTTGATGTTCAGTCTGGGGATGTCTTATGCTGGCCCACAAATTTAGGATGGGTGATGGGGCCAATTTTGCTGTATTCATGCTTTCTAACTGGGGCAACTCTTGCTCTTTATCATGGATCTCCTCTCGGCCGTGGCTTTGGACAATTTGTTCAGGTTCCCGAATACTGATTTTCCTTTATTCATCTAGAATGAAATAGTCTTTTACTGTTTTATTCATGAGGCACCTTTTGAATTTATGAAATAAATTATTTCTTCTACTCTCTCCGTCCCAAAATAATAGTCCCTTTTGGGGAATCCAACTTTTTTTGATAGTTCAATTATTGCATTTTAAAAATATTAATTTTCCAAAATTATCCTTTGATGGTACATTTTTTTTTTTGGGAATATCAATTGTCATATTGTACTTTTTATGTTATTAATGAATTTGAAGTAGGGCAAAATAGTAAATTCATATTATTTTAGTCCTTGATTTTTGAAAAGGGATTAATATTTTGGGACAATGAAAAATGGAATAAGGGACTAATATTTTGGGATGGGGGGAGTATTGTGTGCCCTTGGGATTTGTATTCCCTTTTATTTCTGTTTGGGTAATGGTTATAAAAAAACAAAAAGATTACTTCTAGAATTTTGCTCATTCCTACACTAGAATGAAAAAGGGACTCATGTTTTGTATTGCTTGCTAAGTCACCAATTGTCCCAAAAGTTTAAGTTGTTAGGTAATGGGCCCAACAATGTATATATCAAGCCATTCAATACCCTCCCTCACATGCAACCCCATCTTGCACGTGGAGATGAAAACATTCATACTTAAGAGAGACTTGAAACCCATGACCTCTGATACCATGTTAAGTCACCAATTGTCTCAAAAGCTTAAGTTATTAGGAAATGGGCCCAACAATGTATATCAAGCTATTTGAATATGTCTAATAGGCAACGCAGGAGAAGATAAGAAACTAGGAAAAAAGGTTCAAAAGGAATTTCTACATTTTTTTATTTTTTTTTATGTTAGAATTTATCTCCACCTACCACCTCCACTATCACACACTCCACACCTACCACCTCCACTATCACACACTCCACCTACCACCTCCACTTCACTCCTACACCTACTACCACATTTTCTTCTATATATAGGAATCCTTGTAATTGTAATCTACATCAATATATACGACAATCAATTAGATATCAATCAATAATATATCATTTTTAACATTTTAAAATTTTTTTCCCCTTCAATACATGCCGAAGGGTATAATTCGACTCTATTATGCATTCAAGTAATTGACAGTTGCTCTACAAACACCTCTTTTTTCTTTGTTACGTTTGTTTAGGATGCAGGTGTGACTATTTTGGGCACAGTCCCAAGCTTAGTCAAGGCTTGGAAGAGTACACATTGCATGGAAGGCCTAGATTGGACAAAAATAAGGTAATCTGCCATTTAAATTTCACATATTCATGGTTGCATCATTCACTAGAAAATGGGTTTAAATATGAATATGTGCAGGTCATTTGGTTCTACTGGAGAAGCCTCTAATGTTGATGATGACCTTTGGCTTTCTTCGAGGGCTTACTACAAACCCATTATTGAATGTTGTGGGGGCACTGAACTCGCATCATCCTACATCCAGGGAAGTCTTCTGCAACCTCAAGCATTTGGAACATTTAGCTCTGCGTCAATGACAACAGGCTTTGTCATCCTTGATGAACATGGGGTTCCTTATGTAAGAAATTATCTGACTAAATTTGAAAATTGTTGCTATAAGAATTCTTTCACTGGATCACACCATTGGCTGGAGGGTTTTTGCTGCACCTTTAGGTGAGGATTATTTTGGTAAATCACTTGCTAAGCCTTCTCAACTGTAATGGATCCAATATTACCTGCCCTGCTATGGCTGTGTGATAGTGACTAGTTACAATGGATACAATGACTCATAACAAATTTAACCATCTAGACAAGTCAAATCTATTTGATTGTCATTTTGGAGATTCCTGCATTTGCATTTGCATTTGTTTGATATTTTTGACATATGTGACAGCTGGATGATCAAGCTTGTGTTGGTGAAGTGGGTTTATTTCCTCAATACATGGGAGCTACTGATAGATTGCTTAATGCTGATCATGAAGAAGTGTACTTCAAAGGAATGCCCATGTACAAAGGAATGGTACGCTAACGTGGAGACACCATGCTCTAAGTTGTTAGTTATAATTATTTGTCAAGTTCAATGCACATTAGACATTACAGTGGTAGAAACAAGTTAGAAATCTCATTCCAGAACTGTAGATATATGTTATATGGACTCTTCAAAATAAATCAAGTAGTGTCAGGCACTTGACACGTAGATAAGGGTGTAAAATATGTCCGATACTTCCATCAGATATGCAATTATCAAGCATATCCATCAATTTAATTTTGGTATGTTATTTTATTTAACAGTCATTATACATTTATTTATTTTGGGTTGCAAAATTGTTGTAAAATGAGTAAAATACCTTTTTTGACAGTCTATGTTTCATAAAATACCATTTTATTCCATAAAATAGATTGATAATATAAGAGTTTATATATATTTTTACGAAGTCCTCATATCCTTCAATTAGGGACTAAGAAGCCTAGACACGGTCACACGACATGACACGGATACTAGATAATCACGCTGACACTACAATTTTCAAAAAATATGGGACACAGCATGTGACAGATGCTCAAAATATGTGGTTTTTTATATTTAGTATGTGTCATATATATGAATAAATAAATAAATAAAATAGCATCCGATTAGTCTACATTAATGTGTGTTTGGGAGGGGAAAAATTGTGTCATATATATGAATATTTCATCTAAATAGAAATTGCAACATACCACTAATTCTTATACTTGGATAAGAGATTAATAGATATAATTCATATTGTTTTTCTTTTATTATTCATTTATTTTGTTCAAACTCATAATGTGTTTCATGTATGTCTAAATGACAGACATGTGTCCCCAAGTGCTTGAAGCATGTTGAGGTCTAAAATGTTTGGATATGTGTCCAACACGTATCAGAAAGTGTCCAATGATTATTGGTTTCCAACATCATTTCGACACGGACACATCACCTTCATAGAAGTGTATGTGTTTCTTAGATTAGAGGTTTGATGGTTTTGTCCCCTAAATATGCGTCCATATTTGACTCCTGTACTTGTGTCCATGTAACTTAGCATTGGATCATTCATAGAGAAACTTCCTGTGACCAAGCTGATTGCCCAAATAAATAGGTCCATAAAACAATGGATGCGCACGATGCATTTCAGGTGATCAGTCAACACCAGGATTAATGGGGTCGAGTTAGATTTTTAGAGTGCCTGACCAGGATTAATGGTGTTCTATGTGTATCAACATTTCAAAACAGTGGTTTTAATAAGTATCAGTTTTGTAAAAGAGAGAATTTCATGAAAGTTATAAGATTCTAGAATGCGAACCTGTTTCTTTTCATTTTTGAATTTTTTTTTTACTGTTCTTGGAAATTGAAGGATAAATGTCACTCAGGTAGCATAAGAGCTGTTCTTTTAAAAAATTCTAGGGGATTTGTTTAAACATGAATGCTTTGGAATTGCATGTGTTCTCAAAATTTGCATTATGTTCAGTTTCAAAAGTTTAAGAATGAAATTTAGTCTTCTAGAACTAAAGCAATCAGGCCAATGTCCTCACCTAACCTGTTGGCATGAACAATTGCTGAATTGAATAAATCTTCTTGTCTTCTCATTTACCATACCTCTTTATAAATCATAATTCCAGATAGAAGCTACTTGGGATAAAAATTATAAGATGTAATTGTTTGTTAGGATTACTTTGAAAGTTGAACTCTTGTCCATAAATAAGTAGTGAATAATTATCAGAATATCTGGTGAGTACAAATGCTATATGATCTGGTGCATAGAAGTGGCTTTCATAATATTTATTCTAACTTGATTGCTACTCACAGCAACTAAGGAGACACGGAGACATCATCAAGAGAACTGCTGGAGGATATTTTGTTGTACAGGGAAGGGCTGATGACACCATGAATCTTGGTGGTGTAAAGGTACCAACCACACTCTCATATCTCTCTCTTCTTTTGAAGTCGTGTTAGTTAGAATGCACAAGAGTTGAATATTAGGGTTAGGGTTAGAGAGGAAGAAAGAGAGAAGAGAAGATGGTGTGACTAATTGGTTTAGAGTTGTGAAAATCAACCCTACTCCAGCAGTATATATTTCTATGAAGACATATTACAATATGACCATAGTACCCTCAACTAATAAAATAATGACATAATAACATATGACTATTCTAACACTCCCCTTCAAACTGGAGCATAGAGATCAAACATGCCCAGCTTGCTAGATAAGCCATAAAAGGAAGACCGAGCCAAGGGTTTGGTGAAGATATCACCCAATTGATCTTCAGAACGAACATAAGGAGTCACAAGTTGCTTTCTCAGTAAGAGGTCGTGAATAAAATGACAATCAACCTCAATATGCTTCGTACGTTCATGAAATACTGGATTATTGGCAATAAAGATAGTAGCCTGATTATCACAACACATACTCATAGGAGTGGGAACAAGAATACCAAAATCCTGTAGAAGAGAGTGAACCCACAACATCTTAGAAGCAGTATGGGTCATGGCACGGTACTCAGTCTTGGCACTCGAACAAGTAACAACTGTCTGCTTCTTGCTGCGCCAAGTAACAAGATTACCGCCAACGAAGGTGCAATAGCCTGAGGTAGAACGACGATCAGTCCGACTGCCCGTCCCATCAGCATCACTAAAACCAGTGACAGATAAGGAAGAAGATGGACGATAGAGTAGACCATAACCTGGGGCACGCTTCAGATAACGCAAGATACGACAAACAACTTCAAAATGAGGGTGATGAGGAGCATGCATAAACTGACTAACCACATTGACAACATATGTAATATCAGGACGAGTGACGGTGAGATAAATCAATTTTCCAACTAAACGACGATAACGGCCAATATCAAGAAATAAGTCCCCAGTATCACCATCTAGTTTAACACAAGAGTCCATTGGAGTATCACTTGGACGAGTGCCTAGGAGGCCAGCCTCAGAGAGAAGATTAAGCACATACTTGCTTTGCGAAAGAAACAGCCCCCGAGAAGACCGAGCAACCTCAATCCCAAGAAAATAGCGAAGATGAGCCAAGTCCTTAGTGTGAAAGTGCTGACCTAAAGACTGTTTTAAATTAGCAATACCGGTGGAGTCACTGCCAGAAATGATGATGTCATTCACATAGACAAGAAGAACAATACTCTCAGTAGACGAGTGGTGAACAAAAACAGAATGATCAGAAGTGGAACGACGAAACCCATGTGAAAGCACAACTGCACTGAAGCTATCAAACCAAGCATGTGGAGATTGCTTGAGACCATGCAAGGCCTTCTGCAATCGACAAACCATATGCTTATTGCTGGGAACAACATAGCCAGGTGGCTGATCCATATAGACCTCCTCTTGGAGATCGCCATGAAGAAAGGCATTCTTTATATCAAGCTGATATAAAGGCCAAGATTGACTAATGGCAACAGAGGGAAGAATCCGAACAGAGTTGAGGCGAGCCACAGGGGAGAAGGTCTCCAGATAATCAATGCCATAAGTTTATGTATAGCCTTTGGCCACTAAGTGGGCCTTAAGCTGCTCAACAGTACCATCAGGAAGATACTTGACAGCATAAATCCAACGACAACCGACACTAGGTTTCCCAGAAGGCAATGGAGTAAGGTCCCAAGTCTGATTCTAATGAAGAGCACTCATTTCCTCATCCACAGCATGCTTCTAACTCGACATGGACATAGCCTGCTCATAAGAAGAGGGAATGGAAACACAAGACAAGCTACAAGCAAAGGAGTAAAGACTAGTGGAAAGACGATCATAAGAAACAAAATGGCAATAGGATGTTGGGTGCAAGCACGTTTACCTCAGCGCAAAGCAATGGGAAGATCATCAAAGTCCAGAACGGTAGGAGGGCCAGGAGCCTCTGACAAAGAAGATGAACTGTTCGGGCCATAAGAAACAAGGTGACGATTTTGGGACCGTTGATAAACTTGAAGAGGAGATAGAGGTGAAGAAGAGGGATCTACATTGGTGGAGGGTGAAACAGAGGAGGAGGAGACACAAGGCACCGGAAAAGTAGGTGTGGGAGATGCTGGCTCCCCCTTATGACAAGATATAAGATCGACTGACAATTGCTGCCCAGACGAAGAAAAAAAAGGGGTGGACTCAAAAAAGGTAACATCAGCACCGACAAAGAACCGACGGGACTCAAGGTGATAACACCGATAACCTTTTTGTGTACGAGAATAGCCTAAAAACACAAATTTACGAGCATGAGGAGATAACTTACTTAGGCCTGGATCAAGGACATGGACAAAAGCCACACAACCAAAAATACGAGGAGAAAGAGGAAACGGGGAACAATCAGGGTATAACTGAGAGAAGGGAGACTGGTTTTGTAACATAATCGAGGGCATGCGGTTAATAAGAGAGCAAGCAGTGAGCACGGCATCACCCCAAAACTATTTGGGAACGTGCATGTTAAACAGCAATGTGTGAGCAACATCTAACAAATGGCGGTGTTTCCGCTCAGCAACACCATTTTGGGGGGATGTGTGAACACAACTAGTTTGATGAATAATACCACGATTAGCACAAAAAGATCCACAGTAGATTGCATATATTCTAAGGCATTATCAGACCGGAATATTTTAATACGTTTTCCAAACTGAGTAAAGATTTCATTATAAAATTTAGAAATTATTTGGGGTAATTTAGACCGCTGCTTTATTAAAAATAACCAAGTCATTCGAGAGTAATCATCCACAAAATTAACAAAATAAAGAAAGCCATTAATAGTGTTAGTCCGAGGTAGACCCCATTTGTCTGTATGGACTACATCAAAAGACGTGGACACGCGACTAACACCACGACTATGAAAGGAACTACGGTGGTGCTTGCCAAGCTGACAAGCATCACATTCAAGTTTACACACATGACTCAAGCCATGAATGGCTAACTTAAGCTTGGTTAAAGACGGATGACCTAAGCGAAAATGCCATTGCAGAGGAGACAAGGTAGCACTCAAAACAGCATAAGTAGAACGAGACAGGCTATCAGTGTCCAGAAAAATATAAGCCATCCTTCTCATGCCCCGAACCAATCATCCTCTTAGTCTGGAGGTCCTGCAAAACACACGAAGTGGAAGAAAAGGTTGTGGAACTGTGAAGAGCTTTAGTCAATTGACTAATAAAAAGTAAATTAAATGGAAAAGTAGGAACATAAAGACTAGAGGGTAAGGAGAGAGATGGACTGGGCTGAAGAATTCCCTTGCCACTAACAGGTCGGGAGGATCCATCAGCTAGAATAATATTATGTGTAACAGGAAGAAGAGTATGGAAAAGAGATGAATTACCGGAGATATTGGAACTAGCACCAGAGTCTATGAGCCAAGATTGAGGAGATTGAGCCACACTGGCAAGATTACCTGAACCAGCCATTGTAGCTGGGGAGGATGAAGGGATAGCAGTACGAAGAGACTGGATGAGCTCAGTAAGCTCGCTAAGTTGAGTAGTGAGTGCATCATGAGAATCAGCTAGGGAAGCAACTGTGCCAGAGGGAAAAAGTGTCGACTGAGAGGATGGAGAATCCATAACCTGATTCACATGATTAGGTTTACCATACTTCTGCCAACACCAAGGCTCAGAATGACCTAAGGAACCACAGTGAGTACACTTCCGATCACCATGGGACGCAAAACCATTTCCACGCCCACCACCATGATGAGAACCATAAGAAGAACGACCATCGCGAGAACCACGAAAACCAGTGTGCGAGCCACGGTGACTAGAGTGGCTTGGAAAACTTCTACGGGAAGACCAACGGTCGCTACTACTAGAGATCAATGCAGAAGAGGCCAAAGTCTAAGAGGCAGAACTAGATAAAGGAGAATCCTGTCCCAAAGAAGAACGCAATAGCCGAGAATAGGCATTAGCAACGGAAGGTAACGTCTCACTAGCAAGGATCTGATATTTGAAACCCCGTAAATCAAAATCTAAGCCCATAAGTAAAGAGGTCATCATAAACTCCTCCCAATTCTACTTTTGTTGTGCTAAATCAGTAGTAAAAGGCCGGTGTTGTAATAACTGATCCCACAAATTCTTAAGGCCATTGTAATAATCCGAAAGAGAACGACCAGATTGTCGAGTAGCAAAAATCTGCTCATATAACTCATAGACCCGGGAGACACTACTTTGATTCGAAAATGACTCAACAAGGGAGTCCCAAATTTCTTTCGAGGTGTCACAAAATTCCACAGTAGTAGCAACATGAGGTTCCAAGCTATGCCAGAGCCATTCCATAACACAAGAATCCTCACTACACCAGTCATCAACGGTGTTATCATCAACAGCAGGCGGAAAGTCAGTAAGAAAACGGGATTTTTTCTTACCCGGCAAAAAGATTTTAACGGCATGAGCCCAAGCCAGATAATTTGAGCCATTAAGTTTCTTGGTAGTGATAGACTTAGGCAACTCATCATCTTTAACCAGAGGAGGTTTGATGTCAGCCATGGAAAACACACAGTAGTCAAACAGAAATCAGCCAAATAACAGCAGAAAACAATAGAAATAGAAGTCTGTGACCAAGCCAAACAGAAAACAGCCAAACTAACACAGCCAAAGCAACCAAAGCGGCCAAAGCAGCCAAATAACAGAAGAAAATACCAAACAGAGAAGTTTGGGACCAAACCTAGAGATGCTGAACAGGGAAGGAGGCAAAAAAGTATCAAAAATCCAACAAAACAGTACCAAATCTCAAAACAAACCTCAAGGAAGACCTCCTGGATGATTTTCGGCCCCTATAGAGATGAGCCTACTAGGTAGAACTCGCACAAGTAGAGCAGAAGCAGCAGTTCCGATTTTTCACCAAAAATATTCGAAAATCATTCAAAAATACCAAACTTACATCAAATGGCTCCAAAAAAATTCACAAAAATCACCATTGAACTCAGAAGGAAGAATCTATCCTTGAGAGCCCAACTCGTCCGTACGGATGATGATGTCACGTTGATGTCATCGTACGGATGATGACATCAGCACATTGCTGTCACCTCACAATGATCTCTAGATTCTGATGAACACTCGAAAGGCAAGAACTCTGCTCTGATACCAAGTTAGAATGCACAAGAGTTGAATATTATGGTTAGGGTTAGAGAGGAAGAGAGAGAGGAGAAGATGGTGTGATTAATTGGTTTAGAGTTGTGAAAATCAACCCTACTCCAGCAGTATATATTTCTATGAAGACATATTACAATATGACCATAGTACCTTCAACTAATAAAATAATAACATAATAACATATGACTATTCTAACAGTGTTGAATCATGCTGATGCTATACCAAAGGTGTTTGGGCCTACCTATTTTTTCATGAGCGTATGGTGGTAAACTACCCAAAGAACATTAAACCATTTGACAATAAAATTTCCATGGAGTCTACTTGACAAAATTAACTTCCTGACTTCTGTACTTTCCCAAAATAAGCTCGTGTTTGACTTTTGAATAGGCTTAATTTCATTTATCATGACATCTGTTAGTTTCTTTTTGCTTGGACTAATTTCTTAAATGAGAAAAATAACTGAGATTACCTGATATGCAGACGAGCTCAGTTGAAATTGAGCGAGTGTGTGACCAGGCCAATGAAAGTATCATGGAAACTGCTGCTGTTAGCGCTGCACCAGCAAATGGTGGTCCAGAACAGTTGGCTATATTTGTGGTACTGAAGAAAGGATTTAACACACAACCAGACAAGCTAAAGATGCTATTTTCAAGAGCCATTCAGAGAAACCTTAACCCGTTGTTTAAGGTTTGTGCCTCTTTTTAAGATCCTGAATATATATATATATATATATTGTTTTGGTTAGGTTGTATGCCTCTACAAGTTGAGCGTACTCCTTATCATGGTTACTATTTTATTCTGGTTCGGCATAGGATATGAAGGGACATTATTAATGGAAGTGTCCTAGAAGGTGGGTTGAATAGGACAACCTAAATTTTATAAATTAGTTTAATCCTTCACCTTAATTCACCTTTAATATCTTTTATTGAGCGTCAAATAGATTTGTAACTTGAGTCAGTTTTACTATCTTAATTACCTTGTACAATTCAAGTGTTCAGTTGGGTAAAATTAAGGGACTCTACTCAATTATCAAATTTGTTTTACTTTTGTGGCAAGAGTACATTTAGTGAATCTTTTATAACATTTAAATCAATTCCACACATGAATCACATTCATCATATAGCATATAACAGATTAAAGTGCAAAATAAAAAGAGATGTATACCTAGATTGTATGGTGGTTCAGTTACTTGCGAACATTAGCCTCTGGCCTCCTTATCTTGTTTAACCCACTAATCACAATAGGTTTTCACTAGGGCTGCCCAAAGCCTTTAATCACTCTTCAAGTGGTTTCTATGATCCACCCTTAGGCTATGTTTGGATCATGGATTTGGAAATATAAAGGAAAAGATGAGGGAAATGTGAATGAAATACAAGCTTCTTTTTTTCTCTCCATTTCCCTTGCCATTTTCTAAATCCCTACCCAAATCCATGCTCCAAACATAACTTTAACGTCTTTCACATATATATAACAACAAAAATGGATTTAGGCTCATCCAAAACCACAACCACCCAATCACAACCCTAATAAAATCTAAAACTTACAATTAAAGAAGGGAACCAACACCTTCAAGCACAAGAACGTATTCATGTGAGGCAAGTGTAGTGTCCGATGGTTTATAGTGTTGGGATTTGTTCCACATCCCACCAACACAAACGGAAGCACATCATGCACGCACAAAAGATAAAATATATGATCACACAAATATACTTGGTTCATCAATTACCTACATCCATGGGAGAGAGATATTCCACTATATGAATAAAATAGAGATTACATGTGAGATGACCAAAATACTCAAAACTCACACTACTACTCGAACCCCATGCTTAAGGAGAGTCGAGCCCTTGCTCACTTGGTGTCTCATAGTATTTTTTTCTCACCCCTTCATCTCTATTTTACCTCACTACTCCCTCAATGTCACCAAACTTACAGCCCTCATGACTATTTATAATAGTCTACGAAAAGAATCCTAGTTTTATACAATTAGGTAATCAATTCCTACATATATTAAGTTTTTTTAGTAGATTCCAGACTCTACTCTCTAACTCAAATACATATATAAACCAATCTAGATTGTATGTGACCCACATATATCATATGGGTGGATTAATACTAACATATGGTATATCACTATTAACATGAGATATTTACCTTCTACAAGCAAAAAATTTAGAGAATCCCCTGGAGCAAGTTCTTTAACAGCTTGCGTCAAATGAATAAAGGCTACTCTTACTCTCCAATGGTTTGAACAACACTAATGAGGTGTTTGTAAAGGCAAAAGAGGTGTATATACACTTTTAGGTGCCTTATCTGATAAAACAATACCCTGAATGGTAGTGTTGGGTATATATAGTCGAACCTCACTCTTTTAAAATATTTACTAGACAAGTTGAACATGATGACCTCCATGGTTGACAACACCACTTAGATGGTCTATGAAACTATTGTTTGGTCATTGGGACTCTTGACACTTCCACTAATAAAAAATAAAATCTCTTAAATATTAAGTAAGAAAATATTATAAAAATCTTCATCCAATTCATTTTCTGTTAGCATTAGGTGAGCATCCAAGGAAATATTATTTTTTGGGAATCAAGGTAGATCTAGAGAAAGACTTAATCGGCTGTGTCAAATATGCATGGGATGCAAAAGTAATTGTTTGTCTATTCCTCTTATTATCATTTTTAATTATAGAGAAATATCGGTAAATACAAAACAACGTTGAAATATGCAGAAAACTGAAAAGTTCATAGTTTGAAGTGCAGAACTGTTTAAGAATACACCAATACCTTCAGTTGTGGATTTGTCACAATCAAGGTTTTGAAAAGCGATTGCGGTCGCCGTAATGATTGCAGTGATGCGGTAGCGATTGTGGGGTGTAAAGGCTGTAGTGTAACAGTTGCGGTAACCGGAACTGTGATATTTATTTATTTATTTATTTTTTTCACACGATTTGAAGAAAACTTACCAATACGTATTTTTTATTTTTTTTTTTCTTCCAAAATCACATTTATTGAGATTTAAAATACATTTTGATCAATTTTTTTTTTTTAATTTTTAAGTATGACCCAATATATTTCATATTTTCAAATCACTATAAAAGAAACTTTTTATATTTTATTTTATTAGTTAATGATTTTAAGAATAATTGATTTTAAATATCTATAAATTATTTTTTACCAATACTTGAACTAACTGAATTAAAAAATATTCACGATTACTAAATGAAATGATTATAAAATAAATATTGTGCCATAAATTTTTAAAATAAAAATCATAAAGAAAAAAATTCATGTAAGATTTTTTCTTTAGGCTTGGATCACTTGAGTATTTGTTCTTTTTTTGTAAGCTTTTGTTTTTTTGTTTTTTTGTTTTTTTTTGTTGAGAAAATTAGACTATTCAGAATATTATAAAAGGGTGTAATGGTGTCTAATGGACCGTTACGATATCACTACGGCTGTTATGTAACATCGAAACGGCTGTTACACATGTGAATTTCCATCACACCGCTATAGCGGCTATAATGGGTGGCGGTAACTACCACAATCGTTACGTAACGGTTGCAGCCGCTTTTTAAAACCTTGGTCACAATTGTAGAAAACTTGTTTGGCCTAAGATTTTTTGATTTTGTTTTTGTTTGTCTATTGTTTTGTTAATTTTTTAATATGATGGATTATAGGCTCTTCCAAATTTTGTGTATTAAATTATGTAGATGTAACATACGCAAATATATGTGCAATAAGATCTCTGTACATTTGCCTCAATCCTTTTAGTTACATATTAGGCCAACATTTGTGGCAAGTCAATTATGGGAGTGACCACATTTTCCAAAAATGGATTGAATTCATGAAAAAAAAAAAAAAAAACCTGAATCTGCCTGATAAGCATATGATTTTCTTTTTTTCTTTTTCTTTTTACTGGTTAACAGGTGAACTTTGTAAAGATTGTACCAGAGTTTCCTCGAACAGCTTCCAACAAATTACTCAGGCGAGTTTTGAGGGACAAACTAAAGCACGAGCTTCACGTTTGGAGTAAAATGTAACCGCAACACCATTAATTATGCATATGAAGGTTTTCACCTTGATCTGTGCTTGCATTTAATTTTTTTGAGATGGATGAATAAGAATGATGGGGTCATTAAATTCCTTTGAGAGCCAATTGATTCTATCTGAAAAGCCAGAAGAAAATCTTCATTTCATTGGGTGAATCATTTATCATTATAGTGATTGTATGATTTGTTGTGGTTTGATGTAAAACATGTGACCAATTGCTCAAACAATGCAAACAATGTTATGAATAAGTCATGTAATTCAAGCTTTTTATTCTTTATTTTTTGATAACTGAATCCACATAGGATGATGTGGACAATGTGTATTTTAGGCAAGTTTTTAGTTTGGTCACACAAATTTCTCACTCAAACTTCACTTAAATCAACTTCTCATTTGAGTAAATCAAATACAGGACTCAAATCCGTAAAGTAGACCAGGTCTAACTTCAATTAAGCTCAGGAAACTTTTGTTGAAAATTCATGGCAGGCTTGATATTACTTAAAAACACAATTAGGGAGAGAAGTTGATAGGAAGAGACTACCTTGTCATGCATCTCACTTCCCTTGTCACACTTCTTTTACTACTCTTACATAGATATTCATAGGCTCCTAGGAACATGAATACGGTCTTGTACATTTATCTAGACATCAAATGACCCTTTGAATGGCTCTTGGATTACATACATTAACTAAACTATGAATGTATTTGTAAACATAAATCTCTAAAACTCATAATTATGGAGATTGTCTAAAATCAAATTTTCGACATCACCCCCTTGATATTGCATTGATGTCCTTGTACTGCAAAAAGCTTCATGGCTAAGGGTGTGAGAACCTGTATTTTGTTACTAGTAACAATATTAGTTATATAATATTTTTTTATATTAAATTATCTGTTAATATTCTATATAAATAAATAAAAAAAAAAAATTTGAGTATTGGACCACAATACTGAAGGCTCCATCCTAAATCACCAGAGAGTACTCTAAACTATGTAGTGTCTGAGGGTATAACTAGCAAATAGTTGGATGCATATCTCTCTTGAGTATACTAGATCATAATATCAACTATAAACTTATAACCTAGGCCAAGCCCATAAAATTAATAATATCGGGACATGCCCGAAACAATTAAGTATAGTAAATATCAACACTGGTTATTTACGACCTAAATTTTCACTTTCATACTTCAAATAATTTTCAACACTTAGCTATTTTTTTGTCAAAAATGTTTGTTCTGGCCAATTTTATCAATTTGCCCCTAGGGCTACAATAGTAATGTACTGTCCTGGGTTGTAAACCTGACTTGTTTATGTTAATGGGTACCCATTACTTAGTACTTGTATTATTTCCGGACTCATGATAATGACATATTTTCATTTGACCTTTAATTATTATAATTGAGACATCCTTTGAGATGTCTAGAACCTTGATTGAGGTGTTAGCATGATGGCTAGGCAAGATTAGATCAAATACTCTAAATTCAAATATTTATTTTTGAGTAGTCTTGACTCTTTTGTTCTTTTTTTCTTTCCACACTTCGAATCTTAAAGTGAGGCTAAAACTATTGGAAAACTTACGTACGGGGCTTCGATTTAGACACAAGAACGATCTAAAGTGGAGTTCGGACGTGGGAGTTATGCAATGTTTCTATATGTGTACATGATCATGATTCTACAAATGTATAATATGCTCAAACTGCTCCTCATTCTATAAAAGGGTTTATGTCAACTCCAATGAACAATGCCAAATGTTCTCATTGAGTTATCATTCTTTAATTTCATTACTATTAATCTAGGGAATTCTCGGAAGTATATGTATATGTTAGTAGTCATCGCTAAGCACCACCTAATCTAGTGAGCTATTTGAAGCAACACTCTGCAAGTAACCATCACTAAGTGTCACCTAAATGCCCACCAAATTTACCGATTTCTAACCGGAAGGACCTTGACACCTACACTGTGTGGATTTTTGGTTTTTCACCATAGACTATCAAGCAAAATTATTCCCAACCTCAAGTATACATGATCTGGATTCACCACCATTGTTTGATTAAAACCATAATGTTTTAAAGTAATTAATGCAAAACATGTAACCATCTGATTTTCATAAAATGTACTCCAGTACCTCTATTTAACAACGAGTTTTTATTTTCATAACATCAACATTTCCAATAATGTAATAAATGAATGGGTTTTTGTCAACCTATTGTATAAAAGTCTACAGCAATGACATTCTCCACTAATGACCAATACAATTATCTCTAACAATGATATAATTCCATAAATTATATACATTCAACATCAATTTTAATATAATATTGCCAATTTCAAGTTTTGCACAATTTCATAAATTATGATTTTTCACAAAATTGAGGCTTTCTCAATTTATAACACCCTCATGCAATTTTATACAATGAAAATAGAGAAATACCCAATCAATCATCAAACCCTAACTCCCTATCATGCCTTTTCTCAAATTTTTTCTACCAAAATATCACACATATATTCATAAACTCATATTAAACCAATGAATGAAAACCCTACCTCAAATGGAGGAGACGAGAAGTTTGAAAATTGAAAAGGAGTCAGATGGACTTTTAGGCTTTGATGATCTTGAAACCCTCGTTGAGCTCTACAACATAATACCTTGGATCAGAGATAGATTCTCACTCTAAGTTGGTGAAATCCAAGCTTTAATGAAGGGAGTAATAGTAGAGAGAGAAAGTGTACAGAGAGGAGAGAAATATAGAGAGAATGAGTGGTGTGTAAATGACTAAGGTCCCTATATATGGTAGAAGCATAAAAGTAGCTTTGGGTCCTACAAATTTGGCCAAAAATGCAATTTCATGCACTAAAGTCGAACAGACCGCTCGAGTGGTGATTGGGTGCTTACAGGATCTAAGTTTTTAAAAATTAGAGTTGTCTGGGTCTACGAACCGCTTGAGCAGTCAAAAGTTCACTCGAGGGAACTATGTTGACAACTTAGGTACCCAAACTTTGAACACTTGTTAAATGTTATCCTACTAGACTATATGTTCATTCTACATGGCTGAATTCTTTTTTCAGGTATTGATGGTGTGCCCTAACCTTGAGGCGAGGCATAGGACATATGCATGATATGAGAGAGAGCTCTTTGACTTGTAGGCCTTAAGTCCCTTCATTTTGTAGGCCGAGTGCCATTTTCATAAGAGTTGAATCTTTTTACATGATGTAAGTCTAAGGGCATTTTATTTACATATGACATTGTTGTTTTTAAATTACATACTATATATTCACTCCACGTAGATGTTGAATATATGATGTATATAATTGGATAATCTCATGTATTGAATGATATCAATATATGCATATGAGAGAATCCTTTTGATTATGTTATTATTATATTTTCCCTTATTATTTATGATTATTCCCCATGATTTGGATCTTTTGAAAGCTGGGATTTGACATGTAATATACTCTAAAGGACCCAAATTACCGAAACGCCTTTAGTGGGAAATTCTATTTCCACACACCAAGTTTCCTTACTCCACACACTTAATGAATTTTTTCAGAATCACAATTTTATCCTTTAACAAAATTACCATCTCACCCACCACCATCTCACCTACGCATCTCACCCACCACTATCTCACTAGCCATTTCACCGCCAACCATCGCCTTCCATGCCCAAACCTCAACCATACACAACATTTGCTTTCACTTTCCCCACTCATTTCAGTCCCTAACCTTCTCATTTCGTCTTTTTTCTTTCTCTGTAGATCGCTAGAGAAATCGTGATCGATCAGATAACCAGTGCTGAACAGATCGCCGCCGTTCGGATATCAATCACTGAATCAATTGAGTATGTACAGATATCAACTATCGAATCTATAGGGTTTGTTTGAGCATCAACCATCGAATCTCTCTCTATCTCTTTTTCTTTCTTTGTTAATCGATCGATTGATTGATCGTGGTGAAGAAGAGAGGTTGCGTCACGATGGAGAGGGTGGAAAGGATTGGGGAGGCGGCGGAGAAGACTAGAGAAGGGATGGGGAGGTGGATCGCAGAGGTGACGGCGACCGACGATGATTGCGATGGAGGAAGAGTGGGGAGGTGGATCGCAAAGGTGATGGTGACTGGTGATGATCACAATGGAGGAATAGTGGGGAGGTGGATTGTAGAGGTGACGGTGACCGGTGATGATCACGATGGAGGTGACGGCATCCGGTGATGATCGTGATGGAGTTGACGACAGCGTGAAAGGCTATGTGAGAATGGCTGAGAGGCTGGGAAAGGACGGTGGTTGATGTCGTCATTGCCGCCATCGCCGGTAGTTAGTGTAGTTAGGGTTAAGGTTTTTGGAGTGAGAAATGATGGAAGAGAGGATGTGTACAGAGAAGGTGATGGTATATTTAAAATGTGAAGTGTGTGGACTGAGATAACGAAGTAAAAATCAAATTACTAAATGTATGGATCGAGACAAGATGTATACAAAGATAATTTGGTGAGTGGAAATAGAATTTCCCACCTTTAATGGTCCAATTGCAATTATGCCCCAAAGGCATAATTGATCTAAATGTCCTTAGGGCACAAAGTACTAAGATGCCATCAAGACCTAAATCACCAAATTTTCTCCCAGGCACAAATTAACAAAATGCCCTAACGGCATCATTTACCATTTTACTCCAATTAGCCCTAAGTTAATTTCTTATATGATAAATTCAAAAAGTTCACTCAAATTACTTTTAATGGACTAATTATTCCTAAGTGGCCAAATTTATCATTTAACCCTTGTAATCTCTAAATTCATTAAATAATCTAACAAATCCATAAAAAATTAAACATTAAAATAATCATGAAAACATATTTATTCAAAAAACTAGTGACCAAAACTAGTTTGAAAAATATGAGACAAATATCAAAACTCAACTAAATCAAACCATCTTTTTAACTAGGTTATTTAAACCCATAATTAGTCTAACTAAATTATTTTTCTCAAATTTTCAACACTTGGAAGATTTAAAATAAATAAATAAATATATAAATAAATCTAAAGTTGTCTGAAAATTATGTTCTTCACATCAAAAGTCTTAGAATAAAGCATAGATTAAACTTTTTGAGGTTTAGCAAAAAGTCCCATGTAAGGACCAAGCCATTTAAATCCTTTTATTATTATATTTGAGATCCTTTCTAGATGTTTGAAACCTTCGTTAATGTCTTAAAGTGGTGTTTAGGCAAGATTGGACCAAAGGCCCCAAATTTGAATTTTTGTTTTTGACTAATCTTCACTCTTTTATTCTT